TCACCCCCAGAGATCGATCAACCCTGCGTGGTTAGCCGCTGTGGAGCATCTCACCTCCTTCTCTTCTCCTTACCTCCCCTTGCCACCTCCTTCGCCACCTAGGCCAAGGTGAGGATGAATCTGTGCTTGAATATCGTGAACTCTGCTTTTCTGAATGCATAGTTTGGGGTTAAACCAAGCATAACCTACTTTCTGCTTTAGAACTGAGTCCCAGCTAGGTCATAATAGGTTGCTGTTTGTTCTGTGAATCACCTAGATGTGTTTAGGGTTTTGAAACTGAAGTTGCAGGAGACTTAAAAGAAACATTTTACTTGTGCTTGAAACACTTTGCTTGTTTGATTACTGTTTGGATCTCTTCTGTGATTGTGTGATCGCCTAGAACTTGTAAAGAGGATAGGAACTTAATACGGTATTGCGTGAAATCATAATTGAGACTATGTGTTGTAAAATGTCTGAGATGAGAGTTGAGATCATAAGGCAAAGGAGCCGTGGTCGATATACTTGAGTGGAGGACTATTGATTGGGGTTCGAGATGGATGGTTGAGATTTGCAATGCCTGGGGCTGCAATCGATACGCTGAAGTTGAGGATAGTCGCTGAGCCACGTGGGCAATATGCGAGGGGGTACTGAGGGACCTGACATCACATGGGGCTGTTCAAAAGGGTTCAGCGTATACTCATGTGGTATGGGAGTAATGGCTATACGTAGCACTCTCAAGGCATGGCCGACGGGCTAGTCGTGTAGCGACTATAAATTTACGGAGGATGCAACCCAAGTGCCACGGTGTAAGTCATCATTGTGTGGTCCGGGTATTCGCAGTGGCGTTACCTGTGATGCTAGGATATTGTGTGAAGTCTTTAGGACTTTCTATGGTGCTGTTTTAGGCTTGAACTTAGTGTTTGTTAAGTTGTGGTGTATTGATAGGATAGTGTAGGTTCATTCTCCTGGGTAATCTAAATTACTCACCCCTCCAAGTTCCCCTATCTTCTCTCTCTCTCGATCCCCTCTAGCAGGTTAGGTGAGTCAGGATGCTCAGTATTGCATATGGATGTGGAGTTGTTTGTTAAGCAAGGCGCCTTCGGTTTCTGGGACTTGTAAAGTGGATAATGCGTTTGGCTTATGGCACAGACGGTTATCTTGACATTGCCGGTTCGGTTTATATGACCGGGATCGAGTGTCACAAGTTTGGTATCAGAGCTAAGGTTAAGACTCTTCAGCTTTGTTCTGAAGGGTCAGTCCTAAAAAGTTTTAGTGATTGCGGAACCTTTGTGCACATTTGGCTTGCTTTACAACTGTTATGACTCACATCTATGCATACTTGACATCTGACTCTTAGCTTTTTCTTTCCCGTGCCAAACAGGGCTCATACTCGCGAGACAGCCTGGAAACGGACCATTCCGATCCACATGGTTCCTGCTAGACTCGCCCGACCCGCTCGGATGCCCACTCAGGAGGAGGTGAACGCCTGTGCTGCGCTAGCGACTGATGTGCTCGAAGCTGTACAAGCTCGGGGCACATGTCGATCCTCTTCTGGTAGAGTGATGGCCCAACAGGCCCAGCCAACACGTAAGCGCGGACGCCCCCGCAAGAACCCCGCGCCATATGTTAGGCCGGGTGTTCAGCCGTCTTACCCCCGGACAACCCAGGGTGGACGTTCTGTGGAGCAGTACAAAAGGGCCTTCTTTAGGGACCTGAATGAGAGTGGCAGAGAAATCTGTTGTACTCTTCATGCTGCAATAGCATTCCGAGAAGGGCTGAGACCGGAAATCCGCGGGAGTGTACCTTATCCTGAGGAAGACAGACTCGTTCGGGGCATCAGCCAAGTCAATAACCTGGCTCGGTTGGTGGAGCAGGATATCGAGGAGGAACGGAGACAGCAGGAAGAAGGTGACTATGAGTCAGACCCGTCCGAATGCGAGGTCCCCGGTGACGATGACTTCGACCCGAGACGTGGCTAGGAGAAGCTGCTTGAAGACTATCTAGATTAAGGTTGCGCTTTTGGGATATTGGAGGGGAATTTCATTTTTTTACATTTTAGAAATTAGCTTAGCTTTTAACTTATGCATTAGATTTAAGAGCCCTATTCTATGTTGATTGGTTGCTTGATTTAATTTAATAAAAGGTTTTGCTTACTTAGAAATGATTGCTTCCCGAGTCTTCCGTTCTATGAACATTTCGATTTAGCCTTCTTTGGTATGACTTCCAAGTCTTCCTCATCGCCTTAAGCCGGCCGTGGAGGTTCATGCCTTAGAATTCGGGACGAATTCTCGTTAAGGAAGGGAGAATTGTAACGACCCGGTTCTCACAAACCAGGCCCGTTTGGAAAATTCAATCCCAACTAAGACGGTTTAAGCCTATTTCCTATTTCTCAATATTTCATTTTTCCTTCGAGAGATAATTAATTTCTGGTTTAGATAAATATTATATTTTTAATGTGATATTAATCAATCTTTTCCTAAATGAATTGTGAATATTCTTATTCATAATTATCTTTTCCTTTTTCGTGGTTATCTTTACTTTTTACCCAAGTCTTCCATTGGGTATAAATAGAGAGTCCTTCCATTCTTTTTCTTCATTCTAAACTTTCCAGAGAACAGAGAAACCCTAGAACTCTCTTCTCTCTCTTTTCCGGCGCCGTAGTACTCTCTCTCTGCCGTCTCTCTCTCCTCTTTCTTTCTCTCTCATCGCCGCATCCTCTCTCTCTTCACCATGTCCCGCTGTTCGTCTTCCCCGCCTTCTGGTGACCGCCCTAGCCGCTCTCCGGAGCAGCCATCATCGTCCGCCGGCGAGGTGGAGCAGCCGCGAGTCCACTACCTTCGGGATGGACCCGTAGCCGCCCCTTCCAGCCGCCCTGCCCTGGTGTTTCACGTTGATGAGGAGCAGGAGTTCTCCCGAAGCCATACGCCGCCGCAGCATCACCCCCGGAGATTGATCAACCCTGCGTGGTTAGCCGCCGTGGAGCATCTCGCCTCCTTCTCTTCTCCTTACCTCCCCTTGCCACCTCCTTCGCCACCTAGGCCAAGGTGAGGATGAATCTGTGCTTGAATATCGTGAACTCTGCTTTTCTGAATGCATAGTTTGGGGTTAAACCAAGCATAACCTACTTTCTGCTTTAGAACTGAGTCCCAGCTAGGTCATAATAGGTTGCTGTTTGTTCTGTGAATCGCCTAGATGTGTTTAGGGTTTTGAAACTGAAGTTGCAGGAGACTTAAAAGAAACATTTACTTGTGCTTGAAACACTTTGCTTGTTTGATTGCTGTTTGGATCTCTTCTGTGATTGTGTGATCGCCTAGAACTTGTAAAGAGGATAGGAACTTAATACGGTATTGCGTGAAATCATAATTGAGACTATGTATTGTGAAATGTCTGAGATGAGAGTTGAGATCATAAGGCAAAGGAGCCGTGGTCGATATACTTGAGTGGAGGACTATTGTTTGGGGTCCCAGATGGATGGTTGAGATTTGCAATGCCTGGGGCTGCAATCGATACGCTGAAGTTGAGGATAGTCGCTGAGCCACGTGGGAAATATGCGAGGGGGTACTGAGGGACCTGACATGACATGGGGCTGTTCAAAAGGGTACAGCGTATACTCATGTGGTATGGGAGTAATGGCTATACGTAGCGCTCTCAAGGCATGGCCGACGGGCTAGTCGTGTAGCGACTATAAATTTACGGAGGATGCAACCCAAGTGCCATGGTGTAAGTCATCATTGTGTGGTCCGGGTATTCGCAGTGGCGTTACCTGTGACGCTAGGATATTGTGTGAAGTCTTTAGGACTTTCTATGGTGCTGTTTTAGGCTTGAACTTAGTGTTTGTTAAGTTGTGGTGCATTGATAGGATAGTGTAGGTTCATTCTCCTGGGTAATCTAAATTACTCACCCCTCCAAGTTCCCTTATTTTCTCTCTCTCTCGATCCCCTCTAGCAGGTTAGGTGAGTCAGGATGCTCAGTATTGCATATGGATGTGGAGTTGTTTGTTAAGCAAGGCGCCTTCGTTTTCTGGGACTTGTAAAGTGGATAATGCGTTTGGCTTATGGCGCAGACGGTTATCTTAACATTGTCGGTTCGGTTTATATGACCGGAATCGGATGTCACAGTTATGATCGGCATAGTTGCAATCCACTTGCCACGGTGATTGCTAATATGGGAGCTTTTATGGGAGTTCATGTTCTCGCAACAACAAACATGAGGTATTTTGATTGTTATTCGTTTGGTTTTCATATATATAAAACTATATTTTTTTGTGCGTTTATTATAATAGCTGAATACGGAGTTTATGGTGTCGTTTTAAGATCATATGCACGAGTTGAAATTTTAGAAAATGTTGATATTGGAGCATGCCACTTTCACATTATTTCATATTGTTGGTCAGTCTCTCTTTTTCTCTAGAGTTGCTTTATTTGTTTGTCAAGTACTAACTAGCATGTCATCAGAGAATCTTACAGATTTCTCAATAAATATGTGAATATATATATGAAATTTACTTCAAGATAGTCCTAGTTCTACACTCCCAACTTAACTTTATATACCTTAAGAAAATTGTGGAACCTAGTAACAGTTTAAAATTACAAAATTATTGCTATAATCTGTTTTCCCAAAAACCTAGTAAAAGTCATGAAACCCTAACTATAGGTATTAGTGGAGACGGTGGTCGTTAGGTTATGGTCTCTTTTCTCTTTCTTTCTCAGTTGATCCTCTGATTTTAACAACTAAGAAGTGGGGGTTTTTATTTATTTATATACACATCTATAGATATATGTTCTCTTCACTCCTCCTGAGTTAAGATGAAGTAGATCTTGGCTTCTCCTTGTCTACTGTTGGTATTTGGTAACTCCCATCGTTTTCCAGCGTACCTTAATCACTGATGTTGTGTCTTCCCTTCTGGTGTAAAGTTGAAACACAAAAACGTGTTATTATCTCCAAGTGTAAAGAGGGAGGCTCTTTCAGTGGCATTATACTACATGTACACAAACCTACGAGCTACCATTCGGAAATACTAGATGAGTATCTAGTATCCAAATATCATTCCAAATGGTGATGTTACAGTTTGAACCTAGTCTCATCTGAAGTCCTTGTCTTAATAACTTTTCTTGTCAAATAAAATACTTTTCAAACCAAAAGATGGAGAATTAGGTTTTCGAGCTTATATAAGATGGATATTCAATAATTCTTTACTAGAACTTTCTTCCAGCCAATTCGGAAATTGCAATATCTCTAAAAAATATTGCTTTATAGAAGCTGTATTGAGTTTTTCTAGAGAGCCAAAATCCAATCCACTTTTGTTTTCATGGTTAAAAGACTTCTACTTTTGTTTTCATGGTTAAAAGACTTCTCTCACATTATCTATCTAATGGAGACCGCATTTACCATCATAAAATCTCGCGTAGAATTTCTATAGGTCGCACAAACTCTTTAAATATTCATCATATATACGACTATGCAACTTTCACATGTTTTGTTTTCTTTGCTTTATTTTGTTAATATCTTATCACTGTTTCTTTAAAGTGAGTTTTTGTGTTTCCTCTCTCATGTATATATAGGCTTTGACGAATAGCAACCCGGATCTCTGCTTTTGGAACTTACAGGAGTTTCAGATCTGTTTTCAGTCTCCAACAAATTGTACTCTTTTTGACATTGCTGCGTTTCTCAAAAAGTACTGCCCTAGTCTTGAGAAAATTTCGATCGATGTAAGTCTCTCTCTGTCTCTCTCTCCGTCTCTCTCTCTCTCTCTCTCTCTCTCTCTCTCTCTCTCTCTCTCTCTCTGCCAAATCCATTAATACTTTGGTTTCTTATGTGCAGATAAATGATTTCACATTTGAACCTTATATCTTATGGGAGCTCTATCAGAAGCCAATGGTTCAGAATGGCAACTACCCTTTGAACTCTATCAAGTATGTTGAGATCATGGGCTATAAAAACGGCTGGCATGAGCTTGATATAGTGGAGTTCTTCGTTAGGAATGCAAAATCTCTGGAGAAGTTGAAGCTGATAGAGCCAAGAAACCCAGAGGTCACAGTGTTCGAACCAGAGTATGAAAGGATCACCAACATAAAAAGGTTATCTCCAAAGAAAGATCTCATTGAATTTACCAAATCAGGTCGGGCCCAATCATGAACATGCCAGACTATAATAGCTCTTTTGATCATTTTATGTTTTTTCTTTTAAAATTTGAACTCTATTTGCTTTCGGTATTTTTCCTCAGATTTGGACTTATGCAAAGTTTTTCTAGACTTTGTAAATGTCAACATGTTATCATGCTCCTAGTTTAAGATCAATTGCTATTGGGTTATGACTATGGAATGCCTATATCATTATTATTATTTAAGTTATTGTAACTAGGTGATCATAGAAATTTCTCCCACTTATTTCCAACGAAAATCTTACATAAATGAATTTGATTAGAAGAAACATTGAAAAAAATTTGGTGCTTAGAATTTTAGTTAATTCTTTTGAAAATCTGAAATAAAGAAAAAGAAAATATTTTACAGAAAATAAGTTAACAAGAAGGAAAAGAAAACGATAAGTAAAAATAAAACAATACTTTAAATAAAAATAAAAAGAGAGAGAAAATTTAGATTATACTGTATGTTTATATTTATATAGTTAAGCAAATATAGACTATACGATTTTTTGGGGATAATTGGCCAAATACCGTAGTTAAGATTTGAAAATTGAAAAAAAGACATGTTATTTTTTAAACAACATTTACTTATATGTAAAAAGACATATCTGATTAGCTTTTAAATAAGTATTACATATTATATAAATAAAAATCGAAATATTAATATTTTGATTTTATTGAAGGTATAGAGATATCTAATGAATTAATATTTAAAATTTTATAATTAGATATATTGCCCTAGATATCAAATCAAATGAGCTTTTGCCATTTCTGAATTATGTAAGGTACTTAACATTATGATGTATTGGCATAATTAAAGTTTTATATAGTGTTTTTCAATATTGTTCTGTAGGCAATATATGAGTGATTTTTGCTTTCCGAAAACTAAAAAAGAATGTTTTGACCCAAAGAAAAAGAACTTTGCTACATTATCAGTGAAAGTAAGAAGATGATAGTGAAGAGGAAAGAGAGAGTGAGATGGTTGAAGGAGATGTAGAAGAAAATTATGTATCGTTTATTTATATTGAGAAAAGCTCTGTTCATTTACAAACGAGGCAAAAATGAAAGAATCAGAATAGTTTTACCTTCTACAACGTCAAACTAAATAGCTCCAACAAACTACCTTTGCACGTACGAAAGAAAGCCACTACGCTGATTTCAGACTTAGCTTTCCAATCTTGCCGCTCCTCCTTGGCTATTGTGAATGGAGGAAGATTCTATTATGGCAGCTTTCCCACGCTGTAATCCGTCATTTAGATTGTATGGCGGCTTTGCTCAGGCGGTAAAGGTGTCATTTAACTCGGACATCTTCGAGAGAACCTCTATCCATAAGAGCGGGAAGATTGATAGCTCAAAAACCCGTCATTTCTATATGGCAATGAGGTTTTGTATCGTTGGTGGGGACCCAAAAAGTAAAGTTCACGATTGGGATAGTTTCTACTTTTTGTGAAAAGTAATGAAGTGTCCATCATCGGCAATTACGACATTGATCTCCTCACGGCTTGAAGGCTTAAGCCTAATATTTAAATTTGCTTTCTTGTTTGGCGTGGTTTATCACTTGAAAATACTAATTGCGTAATTCTTTGTTTTTGCAGAGACAGTCAGTTATGGAGTGGACCCTTTCGGCTTCGATATCGATGTGGCCAAGCTCAAAAAATTCAGTTAGAGACATTGGCCCGTGAAAGGGAAGAAGGATCTTTCAAAGAAAAGAGTGAGGGTTCCGAAGCCAAAACTCCAAGGGTAAAGGTAATTTTTCAATTTTGTTTGAATGGCTAGTATTATTATTTTTATGCAAAACGTGACCGCTTATCCTTGCTTTTTTGGTGTTTCAGCTCCCAAGAAACCAGCTCAACCAGAGCCAAAGAGGATGAATCTTAAAAGAAGGGATATGTCTTTAACAGTGGAGATTGTTATACCGGTGGGGTCCAAGAGACCAAAGTCAAACCCTCCACCAGAGCCTATTCCCATAGACTCCAACGAGGTCATAAAAGTCACAAGGGACAACAAGGTCCAAGGAGGTGGAGAGGTATTAATCGTATTCATGACTTTTCTTCTCTTATTCTTCGCTACTCTCTGACCTATAATTAATAGTTTCTACAGGACCCGATGCATTGGAGAGGGTCAGGCAGGCTGCTGCCAAAAAGGCTCACGAAGCAAAGCGAGTTGGGGAAGCTTGTCAAGCCGGCCCGCATGTCGAGGTAGAGGAGATGACCATTAGTGGCCTAAATCTCTCAAATGATGCCACGAACAATGTGGTCCGTCCTCGTACTACTCCATCCTCCCAGATGGCACCCACCACTCATCCCGAAAATGAGTCCAGAGGCGTTGCTCCTGAAAGTTTTCCCATGCTGAAACCAGAGAAGCGAGAGGGCGGCAGCTGCATTCCCAATCACATTAACCTCCGGCGGGATAGTGATACCCCAGCGATGTTTGATAGCGATATTTTTTTTCAAATCTCGTCTAGCGATGCAAACTGAACGCGAGATACAGTACTCCTCTGAAGGAGTTGAAGCATGCAAACTCTATTTATGAAGCGACTTAGGATATTGTGCAGATTCCTATCCATCCAATTTTTACTTGTGCGGTGTTATAGCGACATATCCTGGTAATCTTTCTTTTATCTTCAGAGGATGTTGATTTACTCTTCGCTGATGGAATCGTATGACCAAGCTTGAAAGGCTTCGGGGAGTTGAGACCAGAGCTGAAGTTCTTCGACCGAATTGTCTCAGTCTTGAGACTGAAGTTCGCAATCTAAAGATTGAAGTGGCCGAATCATCTCAACTTTCGAGACGAGGTGACCGTTCTCAAGGCGCAGGTTGATGTTCTCGAAAGAAAGGGAGATGAAGATGTGCAAATAACGTTCGCAAAAATTGAGAGGCTTCACAACTCTCGTGATGAGGCAGCTCAATATGTGGCTGACGAGGTGTTTAACAACGCCATATATTGGTTTTGGTTTGGGTCGCATATAGACGAGTGAAAGCCTTGTTGGCTCAGAAGGAAGAGTTTGAAGCTGCTGTGTTGGTATGGCTAAGAATGAAGCCATGATAGTTTATTTAGAGCAGATGCAAGCTCAGGAATAGGATATTCCTGCCGAGATTATCTCTGCTTTTAGGGTGAAGCTCGCAGAGTGGGAGCCAAAGGGTAACACTATTGATGAAGCAGTAGTTACCGAGGATGATCTTATCTTGCCAAAAAGGTTAGATCTTTTCTTTCGTCTTGAAGATTTTTCTTTAAACGGTGAATGGGTTGTTCCCATTAATTTTTACCAATTTGGTTCGATGTGTCGAAGCCGTGCTGTTGAATGGAGTGCGCGAAGACATTATAAAGATGGATGGTCAACCCCAAGATGGAGAGCCGAAGTGATGTCTGACCTATTCAGTTTACATCGTTCTAGCGCTTATATAGTAACATTGCCCGGAAAGGTTTTAATCCAATATTTAAAGAATGTAAAAGTATCTTGATCTTTGAAGTATTTAATATTGATGTCCCTTTTTAAGTATCTAAGACATAGACATAGTTTTGTCTCTATTAAATAGTAATAAACTTGCTTTATTAAGGAGTACTCGCTTATGCTTACGAGGTAGTCACCTTTTTCTATATGGACTTTGTACAAGCCGACTTTTCGACTTGTGGCGCGTGGGCATCTTTCTAGCCGGGGTGGAGGCAAGGACTATTTGCTTAACTTATACCAAATACAACTACAAGATCGAATATGCATCGTGTAAGACTTTAGCTGATAGATATTCATATGAACTTGTGTTGTACGAGTTTTTGTCTTGGCTTCCCTTTGATTTATGGAAGTAATGAAATTGAACCAAAATCTTTTAGGGGTGGAGATCAGCCATAAAATTTATTCATAGTTGGAAGTCAACGCTGGGCCAGAATACTGAGACTATACATTCGTCTAGATTAGTTTTTTTTTTGGAGAAGTGAATGTATAAAATGTTTCTTCTTATGCCGAGCTAAACTTCAAAAGGCAATAAAAAGATATTATGATAAAATAATTTATTAGATTTATAGCTGGACCCTGTTAGAATAGATATTGATTGTGTTTCGAAAGTTAAAAATCAATTGACAAGTCCAATCAGTACCCATAAGGTAAGGAGTGAGAGGTTTCAAGCAGATGAGAAAGGTAGATCCTAGCTGCTTATCCTTAACTTAACAAGATGGCTTGGAGCAGGCCGGAGCCAAAGAGGAATGGAGTTACTAGTTAAGAAAGGTTTCCAAGATAGCAGCAAGGTTTCAAGTCTCAAATTTTGTGAAGATTGCATCTAAGGAAAATGAAAAAAGGGCTTCATACGTACCCAAATCGGGATTAAGCTATTCATAGTTCTTTATAATTATTGGATGAATATGAGCTCGGAAGTCGAGCTCTTATTTTTATGTTCTTTTTTTTTAGATAATAACTATTCCAAATTTCCGTGAAGATCCTAATGCGACTTCTTAGCATTTGTTAAGGTGGTCGCCGAGGTGAGTTGTATTTTCCACTCGCTGATAAAGCAGGATTGTGTCATCTGTTGGTTCTCTTGAAGTGTAAAGATGGCGGAAGAGGTGGCAAACTTTATGTTTTGGTGGTAAGTTGGCACGATAGCTTTCATCTCATGAATCTAAGTAGTCCCGAAGATGGCGTTATAGATGGCAAGTTTGTCCATGACGGTGAATTTGACAATCTTGGTTATGCCGCCGACATAAACGGTCAACTTTGTAGTTCTGATCTTGAAGAAAGATTCACAAGCATACCTGGTAAGAGGTTTTTGGTACTGCCTAAATATCTGTATCGTGGATTCCTATTTTAGTTAACGTATCTTTAAAGATGATTTTAATCATACTGCCGGTGTCAATCAAGATTTTTGTCATGGATTTCCACCTCGCTTTCATAGATGTTGAGTTCGAACGACCAAAGGATCATTGTGCGGAGTGTGGAGGCCCCGCATGTTGCTTTTCTTTTTTCATAATCATTTTTATTAGTGTAAAAATTATTACATTATATATA